AGTCAAACTTTTTTTTCATTGTTTTCGTGATCACGCTGGTACAAAAAGTACAAGCCAAAGAAGGTGGCTGCGTCAAACGACTTGTTGTTGTTGGAACTCGAGTTTCCTGCCTAACTTACTGACACTTGGCTGGTTCACGCCATGTGAACACACCCACAACACTGAAACGGTGTGAGTGAACACGGAAGTCATTGCGCTGTAGCTACGTGTTGTTGAATACAACGGCACATCGATCGATCGATTTCTCTTTGAGAATTATTTTAGTACTTCAAGATCGCCAATTTTTTATTTGAATTGAGGAGTCAACGCCGTCTTCTATCAGCTTTCACAGGCGTCTGCTTTTCTCAAAATATCGTCGAAGTCACACGGATAGCTTTGCCAAGTCATGGCCTTGGGAATGAGTCTGTGTCGATGTCGTTTTCGTCACATCGTGAGAGCAAATTGCATCGCAGCTCAAAGAAATTGGGCACGAAACGAATTGGGACCCATCCCGCTCGTCAACATTTACCACACTTTCGACATGTCCTCTCTGACTCGATACGAGGAAGAACTCGTTTGTTGTAAACCAGACGTTCATGTACCGACGTGAGTGAGTTGTCATTTTTCATGCTTTCGCGCGGATTATTTCTTCGAGTTCACAGTGAGTTTTTCCAGCCAGCTCTCGAGCGCGCATACGGTAAGACGGCAAACTCCCCGGGCGATCGCCAGGATTGCTAATCTTTTTGAAACTGACTGTAGTGGATCTCGCTAAGTGTGTATTGTGATAATAGCACTCACTCAGCTGAAGCACATTGTTACAGCCAGTTGGAAAAGAAATTAGAGCTTCCTAGTCAAAGAGATAAGAAACAGAACTTACTCACTGCAGCTGTTCAGCAGTCCTTCAGTTCTTCCAGTGTCCAAGAACGTCCAGCCTATCCTTCATAAACATGTACATGCACAGACAGAGGCACGAGCAGTTGCTGTTTCGTAACTCTGAGTTTCACGAACTGAATCGATCATCAGACGAAAATTTAACCAGTAATAGAAATTTAATGTACATACAGGTAGCAGCACTTGTCTTCCGCAATCTTACAATACTCAAATTCTCCAATTGAACAACCGTTTCGGCCAGCTTCTCCTTCTGCTATCGACTTAGAGTTCTACTGTTAGTGGCCTGTACCGTGCTGTACGCTACAATCAACTGTTCCATAGACATAAAGTAGCTATGCGTCTTCCACAAAAGTCGAAGACATACAGACAGCATAGCAGAGCTAACCTTTCTCAACGCCAGCAATGATGTACCGGTAGTTATGACGCGACGGATACATTTCCAGCTACACAGTGCTGCTCAATGAAATCCAGTGACGTCACTCAAGTACACGCCTTGCGTTGCGCAGCCCTAGACCTGCGAACACTGCGCAGCAAAATGGTGCAAGGTGCAAACTTGAGTGACGCGGCTGGATTTCATTGAGCGGGACTGTAGACTGTAGTATAACTATAAGCCTTGCAGCTGCAGCAGCACGTACACGTAGATCACTGATCAGCACCGTACTGGGACTGAAGTCACGTCAGTGAGGATACTTGTAATCGATTTCTTGCCTTAGTAATTACAAGGACTACACATGTACTTGTTATCATGCTGGGCCTCCCACTGCGTCTTACGCCACTACATCATACATGTGCGCACTAAACACTAAACCAAGTAGCCATTACCATGATTACAATACTGATAACGTGCATTAATTATGTGTATGGCATCTCACGAGGCGGGCGGCGGCAATTCTCGCAACTGATCACGCCCACAGACCTCACAATCATGTCATAGTGATGCACTGCTATGTGTACAGTGGTAGATCTACATTGCTGGAGAAGTACTCAAGTACGCTAAAGTTGAGGGTAGGTGCTTGACCTCACAATGGCTCTAAACCTGGTTCAACCATTGTTGACGTGACATACAGGATAGCGCTAAAACCGTCACAGGGGTATTTGTATTTATCTATTCTCGATCTCCACAGGCCTTAGCCTAAATCGTGGGAATCTCCGTCAACAGCTTATGAAGAAGAAGCTGAGGAGAGAAATAGAAAATAATAATTAGATGTAGAATGATGCGGGGTGGTAGTAATATTATAACCCAGTGCTCTAGGGGTGGTAGTAATATTATAACCCAGTGCTCTAAGACATCGCTACTCTATGTGGAAACCAGAGGGCTCATAACGGGTGATAGCAAAGTGTGTGCGTTCAAGAGCGATAAAACATTTTGGGCTGGATACAGTACGAATGGCAGCTGGGAGGCAGTTCCATGTGGCAGTAGTGACAAAGAGAAAGGTGGCACGGTTGTGTGTGCTGGCTCTAGCAGGCCCGAGTAGATGTTGGGGGCGCCTGGCGCTGTTTGATACTGTGTAGCCTAAGTCCTCCAGGGTCGTCATCTGGCTATGGATAAGGTGGTGGAGCTGAAGAAGGCACTGAATCATGAATGTGTCTTCGCCATGCGAGACTGGGCCACTGGAGGTGCGCGAAAAGTGAGGCTTTCGGCTCCGTTTGAGAAGGGAGCGCGCCATACTGCCGCAGCATCACACGTGCAACTCTTGCCTGTAGCCGTTCTAGGGTAGTAGCCTGAGCACTGGAGAGTTGAAATAATTGCCAGAGGAATGAGGCGTATTCATTCCACAGGTCGAACAGGGTGATGAGTGATACAACACTGTAATACCGGTGAGTGGTGCGTTCTTGCAGGTGCAGGTGGATCAGTTCGCATTTGGGGGGACAATGGGCCAGTTCTAATTTCCTACTTTTACGACGGGGCAGCACCAGTAAAGGTTTTTCAGAACCGCTCACAGAGCGGTTTTTATACGGATAATTATTATTAATTTTGTAGTCAAGTGGTTTGCTTCACTGTCCGAAGAGTGCTCAATGCCCATGTAGGGCAGAGCCTTGTACACATGAGAGAGATTGGAAGCTTTGTTACAACTCTGAGTTTCACGTATTACTACGATTAGGCCTCGACCAAATATGCTTGCGCATATTTCCGCATATTTTGTGAGACAGTTCATATATGGCATATTGAGCGACAAAGGGAACATTGGAATAAAGCCAGCATATAATTCAAATATTCTGAAGAAAATGAGGCCAAAACATTCATATGATGGACAAAATGCGTTCAGGAATACCTTTTATGGATGAATTTGGAATGGTTGAGGCGTTTGCTACATTTCCCCATGGATGAACACTATCGCTACGGTTGCTGGGGACACACCCCAGCCATACTATTCCGCATGTGTTTTTGATATGCACCATAAGCATGATAGCCGTGAAGCAAATGAATATTCCAAGGTTCTAATTTTACTGAAATGATCTACACTTTCTGCTTATGTCGAGCATTTTTTGGCATATTTTGGCATATCTTGCTAAGCCTTTGGCACTATTATGGACGTTTTCCCTGATATGCGACGAGTATAATATGCTCTTTTTTTTTTAGCATATTTGGTCGAGGCCTAACTACGATCATCAGGCAGTGGGGTTCCCTGATGATCGTAGTAATACTTGAAACTCAGAGTTGTAACAAAGCATCCAATCTCTCTCTTGTGTATTATTATTAAATTTTGTATTTGTCCGTTGGGACCATCTTGTACCAACGCGTATAGCCGATTGGTTTCTAGTCTTGTGTGCAAATCATGAGATTTCATAGCAAAACCTGTGCTGGTAACAGGGAGTGTGTTTAGTGCGGCGGTGAACTGGTTACAGTGTACTCATTTGCTCGGTGTGAGCTGGCAATGCACTTCCATGTCCATGATCTAGTCCATGTAGCGAGTTTTAAGTACACGGTTACATGATGATGTTAGTTTGACAGCATGAAACAAGGTGGAGGACACTGTGTTCGCAAACAGTGACCTTACTAGAGCTACAACCATCCACGGTTGGTAGAGCCCCGGTCCGTTGGGACCATCTGAACCATAATTATGCGTGTTGAACCCGGTTCTATAATACTACACTGCTGGCAACTGAAATCCGACCCCTGGCCCTGAGCGGTGCGCTCACATCGCAAAGACCCAACAAGGGATGGTGAAACTAGGAAACAGATATCGCTATAATGTGAAGCCACCGCTCAGGTGGTCGGATTTCAGTTTCCAGCGTGACTGTAGCATTGGGTTATAGAATACCACTACTACATGGTCTAGCTTTGGGAAAGGGCTACATGTCACGTGACATCTCCAAAGTGATAACGAGTTGAGCAAGACGCACACAGGCTAGTACGGGTGGATCCGATTATACATGTACATGTATGTCCAGTGCAAGAATAGTAACTTTCCATATTTTTCACTCACAAAGCAACTGTTCAGTACATGGGGTAGTGGTCTACCAGAGCAATCACACTCACCACCGTAGTGGGTTTCCAGAAATGAGTAGAAGCAAAAAACTACACTCGCAGCCACATACAATGTAATAGATAAATAGCCGAAAAACATCTAAATCCATCAAAGAACAGCCAGCAAGCGGGAGAAAAGGCCGTTAAATCAAGTGGAACAGCATGGCCAGTGGTGAGCATGGGTGACTGGGCAGCAGGGGAGCGCCTGAAAAACAATGACTCCCTACATTCCTAGCCGCGACCGCTCAACCGGGCTAGAGGAAAAACACGCCTTTCGGCCAAAAAACCTTTCTATTTCAATAATTCCTGCCCCGCTGCCAGTCGGACCCAAGAATAGAGACAGCCAGAAATGGTATGTAATGTCCAGTGTATGTCATAATCATAAGCCACACACATTGGCATAGAATATCAAGAATAACAGCGGAAGACCCCCATGAAACCGGGGTGGGCGGGCACCTTTAACTACCAAGAGGAAAAACAAAGACCACGATGGCAGGTTCAATGGAGTTGCTCAGAACAAGAGAAAACGCCGTGAAAAAAAAAAACGTTCACAGGCTCAGCTCTGTCGTTACATCAAGAGGATAGAACAGTAGCAATACAAGAAGTAGCAATGATACCGTATGTCCACTACACTGCATAATTTTTATTTCTATAGGAATGATTAGAAAGGACACCAGCTATTGACACCAGGAATGAAGCCATGGTTGGTCATGACCTGAACAAACTGGCTCACATCGCTTCCAAAGTAGGCAACAATGACTTGGTGGTGGGTGATGGCATCATCATTGGTACTATCACCTGGCAAGTGAGCCTCTAGTGGCTTCCGAAGAAAGCAGTGCGGGTATTCGAGTAGCTTGAGGAAGAAGCTGGAGAAGAATGCCACATTCACAACGAACACTCCCGAGTCATACTCTCCATCGTTGAACCTCTCCATTGCTGCACCAACGTAGACTGCCAGTTCGTCATGGTCGTCAAAGCGGGGTCCGGAGAAGTTTCCCCAAACTGTTCCTCTCCATGGTTTCATGTATCCATGGGACATGTGCGTTGTTGCTGCATCGATGACACACTCCTCGTCGCTTGTCTCCGCTGGGCACACGGACACATCAAAACCAGGCCTAACCAATCGCCTGGCAATACCAGCCAGTTGTCCTGGTGTGATGGATATTGGAATCAGTGCTGGTAGTGGTGGTAGTGGTGGTAGCGCGTCGTCTGGTGAACGAACAGCAATGTCACCGTTTACATGCCGTTCACACTGTTGGCCGTGTTGCTGGTCACTGACCATGCCGTGGCCATTGTTACCACTGGTACTCATCACATGTCTGCTTGGGTGATTGCGATGTCTGCTTGGGTGATTGCGATGTCTGCTTGGGTGATTGCGATGTCTGCTTGGGTGATTGCGGCGCTTTGCTTGACCTGCGTGTGTCGTCCGACTGTTGGTCTCGAACATTGGTTGCTCATCGGCGTCGTCATCAGTGTATCTGTAGGCACCATTGTAATCGACGTCACCATGCGCCTCACAGTCGATATCATGTTGCTGGGCTTGAGAGTAACCAACGGATCTGCGCTCATGTTCCCAAACTGGCTGCCTGCTCTTGTTACTGCTAGCCACCTGGGACAAAGCAGAGGAAGGTAGGCTCTCCTGCATTTCAAAGTCATCACCATGGAGATGATGCTTTGGCATGGTGTCCGCATTGCTGGTGCCGTTGCAGAGTATAGATTTGCCCTTGGCCAGGATCTCCTTTGCTGTCAATTGATGTATGTTCTCTGGTGGTGTTGATTCCAGAATTGCTTTCCAGAGCTGAAACACCTTCACTGCATTGTCTTCCAAAGAAATATTGTTGAACACTCGGAAATGCGACAAAGCCGTCGGAACTAACATGTTGGGGTCTTGACTGCGGATCATTCGTGCTATCTTGTACCCGCGAATATACTCATAGGCGTGGCTTCGTGACAGGCCAACCTCAGTTTTCGTCCACGCGTGAAAACAGCTAGTGCTTAGAAGATGCTCGTCGTATAGAATGGAATGGAGGGCTTGTCCGACGGCATAGTACGAACAATGTCTATTCTGCTTGATGATGCCTTTCCAGTGCAACAGCCTATCACCGACAGTCTGCGCCGTTAGTGCCGGAGCTACTCCTTCACTGCTTGCTGGCAATTGCGCCTCCAGTGATGGTGGTGAATCGCAATTGACCATCACGTCCATCACCACTTCACAAGGCGAGGTCGCCCCGTGATTCTGCACAACCTTTGCTGCGGTCGACATTCTCGCTTCAGACTCTCACCTTCGTTCTTTCCTGAAGTTCTGCTTGGAAAGTTGGATGTCGTTGAGGTGCCGGTTGAGTTTCCGTCAGGCTTTTGATCAATGCACCTGTAAACAAGACAAAATTTAATATACCAGTATTAAGTCAAGAAAAGAGTACTATGTGAAAACCTCTAGCTGCGAACAAGACAATAAGCCTGTATTCAATGTAGAAAGTATTCTTGCCCATGAACAAGACCCGAAACTTGTATGCCAGCGATGAAATAGGAAAATTGATTGGATGTCGTTGAGATCCCGCTTGCGTTTCCGTCAGGTTTTTAATCAATGCACCTGTGCGTTTCGGTGTTACTGTGACAAGAAAGGAAATGACACTGATAGCACTGCAGTAGCTGATAAGCTGTAAAATCCAATCTTACCGATGTGTTTTGAGTTTCTTCTCGGAAGCGATCCCCTGGCACCTCCGATACGATCGATTCGATCCCGAGCAGCTTGTCTACCACTGGTAGTTATTTATTTATTGCTCTAGACGCGGCTACTTCACAAACCTTCTTATCTTCTTCTTCAATCTAGCCGAGATGAGCGCACCGTACAGCTCCACAAGAAAACAAGGTCCAACTGAAAGAACATTAGGCTTGACTGTCGTTTATGTACAGCTGCTGAAATACAGGCGAGCTTGTCCCATTGGTCACAGCCACGCTCGACACAGGGTGTATTCCGCTTTGAAACAATCATGATGTCCAGTGGTCGCGGGGGAGTTAGACCCACTTACATGTACGTTCTCTGCTGGATTGTGCACTTCAGTATACGATGTAAATAAAATATTATTATGTAATGTCGATTACAAAATCGTCATGTGTGCTTGTGGGCTTCTTCATTGCCGCTATGGGGCTGTTAAGTGATGACGTCACAGTACCTTCGATACGCATAGCAACGATCCCACTGGGGACAAACAAAAGTAGCGTCGTCTCCACCGAACCAGTTGTCAGTGGCAACATTATAGGAATCGTGTACATTTCTTCGTTTCTTCTTTGCTGTTTTCAGTGAGTGTTTGGTTTTCTCTTTGTCCTTGATCTCGACGGTGTTGTCGTGCTCATTACCTTACTGAGGCGTCTCTTATGACTGTAGCCAGTGTCACGGAGGATTTTATTGGCGTGACGAGGTAGAACGCCGAGATCGAGCGTGAGAAACGCTCTGCATTAGTAGCTCCTGTAGAATGTCTTCTGGGATGGCGTATCCATGGTCAACAAAGCCAAGGTGCAAGACAGCATAAGAGATCGTGTAAACGATGTGAACTCCAAAAGGTAAGCTCCTGAACAAGTGGAAAGATATGTGTATTTACAAACTCTCTCTTCATCCATCGATTGCCGCTATGCATTGCATCTTGTCTTCACAGATAATCTGGACAAATAAATTGTAACTGGAGAGTGCAATCGTGCTTGGGACCCATCCCAATGTCATCACATGGCTGTGGTGACTAGTGTATACCTGTACCTGGGAGAGTTTTTCCTCAACTGAGACGGAGTGTAGGTGGATGGATTATGAGAAATGCGAAGATGTGGAGTAAGTTGTGTCGAAGAAATGTGTAATAAAATATAATTTACTTTACACTCAAACATACACTGTACATGTATGTACATGTACCATCATGATAATGATTCCATCTTCATATCTCCCCAACAGGTACGCCATACGCACCAAATACATGGTGTGAGTGCACACGCGCGCTTGCGGGCGCGTACATGCACACACTCTCATGCGTGGCAGAGTTGGCCGGATGAACAGACCACGCATTTGCACGAGGTGTCCGTTATGTCATTGGAATGCTGTACTTTATGACTTTATTCCAAAATAGTATGTCTTGCCCCTGCCAAATGGAGTTTGTGTCTATGCTCAGCGGGTATCGGGCCACGACACCACACTGCAGTCAGCCCCGGCATTAAAATAGCACTTCATGGATTATTTTAACTACTTTCCTTTGCGTTTACATGTAGTAGTTTGTTGAGCCCGTGGTTTTATTTCTGTGTTCTGTTATGATTGGCCTCTGGAAATAATCGGAGTGGATGTCATTTTTGTCATATGTGTGTGCCTTGTGCAACAGGTTCAAGGCTAGATGCACTTCACATTCGGCGTGCGATCTCGGCGTCTGGGACCTGATAACGTCTTGGTTGGATGGGTAATCGAGGATGATACTACTCGGCACACCAATGTACATGTCAATGTAATTTTTTACTTTTTCAGAGCTGCACTATTTACGGAAGAATGTGTCTGTTAGACAGGAAATAAATAGTATTCACAAACAAGTCCCACTTATTGTTTCTGTTCGTACAAGGAAATTGCAATTTTTTGGTCATATTGTTCGTTCCGGCTGTTTGTCATTGACTGTTCTTCAGGGTTGTGTTGCTGGAGGTCGTGGCCGAGGCAGGCTCAGAATGTCATGGCTTGATAATATTATTTCATGGACTGCACTTGACGTGCAGTCCCTGCTCGCTGCTGCACACGATCGAATTTTATGGCGCCCGCTTGTTCATACTTGCTCCGTGACGCCCCGACGGCCTTAGGGCGATGGGCTTGTGATGATGACTATTTACGTCTTGATGCTTACTTCGGTGCTAGCGTGTTTCCCCCGGATTATTTCTATCATCATGCGTGTTCTTGGGCTGAGCGAGCACATGCACGAGTGTGCAGCTATAAACCCGTGTATCTTTGGTTACACTTTGTTCTGCAATGCATGTACCTTGTAACAGTATGTGCTTGCACTGCTTTGTTTGGCCTGCGTATTTCAGGACTATTCAGTGCATTAGACCCAGGTTGGTTTGGTTGCCGGATGATCTCTTGTTGCGTCGCTCTGTGTTTTGTATTCATCAATTTTTGGGCTTGAGAATTGAGCTGGTGTGTGGTTCCTAATATCAAAACATCATGCTGGTGCTGTGTGTTTTGATTATCGACTGTCCGAGCAGTCGCGATTCATTACCAGAACGGTCAATACTGTAGTCTCTTGACGTGTTTGTCTTTTTGTGTTTTCGCCGGAGGAATTAGCGGTGACGTTGAACATGGAACGGCAGTGTTGCATCACTGGACGACCCTGCCTCTGCATCTGACTTCATGTCCCCAGGATCTGGTGCAGATACACCAGACAGTCACTTCCTGTAAACACGCAAACAGCAAAAGAAGAGATCCCGCAAATCAGGAAAAAACATTGTGGAAAATATCGAGTAGAACACACACCATTAAATAATCTGGAGTAATTACAGCGAGACAAACATTTCAGTGCTCTCTCTCTCACTCTCTCTCTCCATTCTTCCAAAATACCCTGTAACAATTCCCTAGAATTATTTCATTTCAATATATTCTCAGGACATCATTCTGAACATAATAACTTCTTCCATGGGTCTTCAATCACCACGGAGAGCGAGAATATATCTAAGTCATGCAGTTTACGGGAGGTGCGAGCTGTCATGGATATCCCACTCACCCCCACCGTTAGGCGCTGCATCGGCCGCTTGGGAGGGCCGGGTTCCACTGCGGCTCCGGTGCACGTCTTTCGCGGTTTGAAACGTCATCACCCACCGTGACGACAACCGCCTGAGTTGGGATGTACACGTCAGCGCCATAGTGACCAAAGTTGCGAGGAAGATAGGCGACTTGTGGCGAGCCCGTCGATGCCTCTCCCGCAGCTCGCGCAAGATATATGTAAAGGCTATTGTCATGCCGGATATGATATATGGTGCCTGCAGCTTCTCTGCAGCCCTCCGCGTGACCCAACTTCAGCGTCTGCAAGCCATGCAAAACCAGGCGATCCGATGCATTGATGGCAGCCCGCCATGTTCCGCGATGCAGCCCCTCCTGGCTGCCAACTCGATTTACCGCGTCACTGAACTTTTTAAACAAAAGCTCCTGATCTTCATTTGGCGTTGTCTAAATGACTCCACTAGCCTTGCTCTAGCCCAGCTTCTCATATCTTACATTGCAGCCTAGAGAGCGTGTGAGGGCAGTTATTCTAGCACATAGCTCTCCTTCTCACCACCACCAGCACACCATCAGTTCGCGCCTTGCGCCTAGTCGATGCATGGCTGGTGGTATCCGACAAAGCAGGCTGGCCCATACTGCCAGGTGTGTGTTTTACCAACAGTTGAATCAAGCATAAGTACTGCTGCATTGGTGTCTTCAACTGCATATCTCATGAATACCCTCTGCCTGCGAAAAAGACGAGAAACTAACTTGTCAGCAGTAAAGGAAACTTCTAGCTGCGAACAAGACAAGCAGACCTCCACCCGTAATCCGAGCATGCATTACAGTCTATGCACAGTTGAGTCACAGTGTACAGTGGATACATTTGTATACTGAGCTTGGTGTAAGCCCACACAGTGTCATGTACTGAGCTTGATGAGCTTGATTCTACATTATGCGGCGCCAGACATTACTGCAATGTACGCCCACACGTCCCCCAGCTAGTACAGGGCAGTATAGCTGATATCAAAATGCCAACAAACGTCCTGAAGACGTCGTTGGCAGAGCGACTGCTCGTACATGTAGTGAGTTTTAGGTACACCTTTCCATCTAAGATATTACTAGTGGATCTCGCTAAGTGTGTATTGTGATAATAGTACTCACTCAGCTGAAGCACACTGTTACAGCCTGTTGGAAAAGAAATTAAAACTTCCTAGTCAAATAGATAACAAACAGAACTTACTCACTGCAGCTGTTCAGCAGTCCTTCAGTTCTTCCAGTGTCCAAGAACGTCCAGCCTATCCTTCATAAACCTGTACATGCACAGACAGAGGCACGAGCAGTTGCTGTTTCGTAACTCTGAGTTTCACGAACTGAATCGATCATCAGACGAAAATTTAACCAGTAATAGAAATTTAATGTACATACAGGTAGCGGCACTTGTCTTCCGCAATCTTGGAATACTCAAAATCTCCAATTGTACAACACGTGGGGCCTTTTTCTCCTTCTAGTATTGCCTCAATTTTCCACGGTTTCCTTTCCTAAAGAATAGCGCTGTAACTTGACTGTACTATTAGTGGCCTGTACGCTACAATACGCTGTTACATACATATAGACACAAAATTACCTGTGCGTCTTCTACAAAAGTCAAATAAATACATACAGCAGAGCTAACCTTTCTCAACGCGAAGAATGTAGTTATGGTGTCACGGGTACGTTTACAGCTACTATACTCCCAGCTGTAGCACGTATTGAGAGCTGATGTGCGGGGGGCCGGGGGGGGGGGGGGGGGAGCGCGGCGCCCACATATCTTCAACTTGAACTCTGAGCTTCATGCGGCGCTAGGCAATCATCAGACACTTGAACTGATACTCGGATCTACCCAGCAGTATGCTTATGATAGCACCCGCTACGACTGGTACGACCATGGTCGTACCACTTTTCGAAAAGCGTGGTCCGCCCGAAACGTGCAAAACCGTAATAAAAAAATCAGGATCCATTGACGCATAAGCACCCTTCCAAAACCCCTCCTACGCCCCTGTTATCAACACATAGCCTTAGGGCCATACTAGTAAGCATAAACAAAGTCAGGGCTAAATCTGGTGACGTAAATTTTGGGGAAAAAGCTGGCTCAGGCCAACGTCACCGGATTTATCATTATTATTATTTGTAGTCAAGTGGTTTGCTTCATTGTCCGAAGAGTGCTCAATACCCATGTAGGGCAGAGCCTTGTACCCAAGAGAGAGATTGGAAGCTTTGTTACAACTCTGAGTTTCACGTATTACTAAGATCATCAGGCAGGGGGGTTCCCTGATGATCGTAGTAATACTTGAAACTCATAGTTGCAACAAAGCATCCAATCTCTCTCTTGGGTATTTTAAATTTTGTATTTGTCCGTTGGGACCATCTTGTAGCAACGCGTATAGCCGATTGGTTTCTAGTCTTGTGTGCAAATCATGAGATTTCATAGCAAAACCTGCGCCGCTGGTAACAGGGAGTGTGTTTAGTGCGGCGGTGAACTGGTTACAGTGTACTCATTTGCTCGGTGTGAGCTGGCAATGCACTTCCATGTCCATGATCTAGTCCATGTAGCGAGTTTTAAGTACACGGTTACATGATGATGTTAGTTTGACAGCATGAAACAAGGTGGAGGACACTGTGTTCGCAAACAGTGACCTTACTAGAGCTACAACCATCCACGGTTGGTAGAGCCCCGGTCCGTTGGGACCATCTGAACCATAATTATGCGTGTTGAACCCGGTTCTATAACACTACACTGCTGGCAACTGAAATCCGACACCTGAGCGGTGCGTTCACATCGCAAAGACCCAACACGGGATGGTGAAACTAGGAAACAGAATAATAATCTGATATCGATACTAGTAATGTGCATCCACCGCTCAGGTGGTCGGATTTCAGTTGCCA